ACGAGTAGCTGGAAATGGCTCTGGAATGTCCAGGTTGGGGGAGGGAGAGTGTTTTTATACTCCGGAGGTCAGAAATTACTAAAGTTGCAAAACTTTAACGAGGGTAGGGTGTCTAAATTTTGAACCAGAGGGTCGAGAAATCTGGCTTCTCATCTTTCTTCTTACAGACAAGAAAAAAATATCTGCTCTCAATTCGCTGACACGCGGTTAATACCAATTTTGTCAAAATTCCAATCTAATTGATATCCAACCAATTTATACCTCAAATTTGGGTTATTAAACTGAAGTAACGCGATCACAAACGCAGCACGCAAAATATCGTCAGATCAACACACAATAACCAATAAACATATCGCGAACACCAAATTAACCCCTCCCACCTTCCCCAACTGCCAGATTAAAATCCCAATACTGGGGAAAGGGGAAGGAGCCGCCAGTCACACCCAGTCACCGCGAGTGGAGAGATGGGAGTGGGACGCTATGAAAACCCAAAACTAAAACTAAAATTATAACGGTGGGACGCCACCGTTATTATAATTTTAGTTTTTTCTGCCTATAATACGTTTTTACTCCTCTCCCGGATTCAACTCGCTTTTACGCGACACAGGGACCGAGGTATTGCATCATAGTGACGCAAATGTTCTTTACGCCATTTCTAACAAAAAACCATGAATCATTATTTGATATATTATGCGACAACAAGCAAACTCTTGTTCAAAGATTAGGCTGCAAAAGAACTCACATATCAACATGAATCTATCAACCGAGCAATCGTTTTTTCAGAAGAGTGTGAAAATAGATACATCAACAAATGCGGTAAAACGTCACTTTATATTTCTTATACCTTAAATATAAAACTTTCGAGTATTTTCGACACACAGTAAAGTGGTAGATAGATGGTGCTGACTTGGAAGAAGTTGATAACTTTATCTTACCAGAAACTGAATATGTGCCACAATCCCCAACTGGAGAATGCACGTCGAAGGGCTCCCGATTGGCGCAAACCTCACAGTATTGTTTACGTTCTCTAACTGTCGAATCGAAAGAACCGTGTCTACCTCTTCAATATCATATGTTGAAAGTAATGACGTACGGATGCGAAACGTGGTCACTGACGAAAGCAGAAGAGCGAATATTAACTGTGATGGAGAGAGCACTGGAGCGAAAGATGCTTGCCGTGTCTCTTTTTGACCACAAAACAATCAGATTCCTCGTTAGATGAGCAGCATGCACGACATAAATTCGAGCACGCCATGAAGTGGAATCCCATGCTACATGGCTTGCAAACAACTGGTGAGAGTCGCACATTAGCGAGTAGTAACCATGAGAAAGTA